TGAAGAAAGGCTGAGAGAGTTGGGGTTGTTCAGCCTGGAGAAGAGAAGGCTTCGGGGAGACCTTATTGCAGCCTTTCAATACTTAAAGGGGGCTCATAAAAAAGATGGCGGCAAACTTTTCAGCAGGGCCTGTTGTGACAGGACAAGGGGGAATGGCTTTAAACTAAAGGGGGGGTAGATTTAGACTAGATATAAAGAAGACATTTTTTACGCTGAGGGTGGTGAAACACTGGCCCAGGTTGCCCAGAGAGGTGGTGGATGCCCCACCCCTGGAAACATTCCAGGCCAGGTTGGACGGGGCTCTGAGCAACCTGATCTAGTTGAAGATGTCCCTGCCCATGGCAAGGGGGTTGGACTGCAAGCATATGCCTTTTTTGTGGTGTGGTAAAACTATACCATTTCATCCAAGCATGTATTCAGCTTTCCCAGCTTTATCCTAGCAGAGGTCATATATCTATATGTATAGTTTGCCATCATTCTTTCCATTACTGAGTTTACTTTGATCACTACCACATTTGCTGGTTTGTTGCAGGGCAATTAATTCTTGAAAATTTAGGACCAGGATGGCCCTCCTCAGTCACCAAGTCCAGCCTCTATTATCATAGACAACCTCATAAAATAATTTTTTTCATTAAGCACTTACAATTTGCCTTGCATAGCGTTATTAGTTATAATAGTACATTGGGATACATTATCTCTGGTTATTCTGTAGTTTTGAGTGGAGTTTCATTATGGATTAGAAACATCGCTTAGAATCTGTTACCTGTACTTACACTACTACTAGTTAAGAAAACACTACCTAATGAAAGAATTGCAGGGTCAGTCCCATGCACCTAAATAGGCAAGACTCGCTTTGAAGCTCTCACAATACATTGCTGCATCCAATAAATTTGCCACAAGCCCAATTTAAAATAAACCTCTCCTGGATAAAACCTGTAAGAAGTTGAGTGCCCTCTTTTTCTCTCTTTTTTCCCTTTTTTTCTCTTTGGATTGTCCTAGGCCATGTATTTTTTTTAGCTTGTGCAGTAAATTTGAACCCTTCTGCAGGCTGTAAGGACGATTCCATCACAACTATAAAAATTCTGGAAGATCAAGTGATGCTGATGAATGAGCAAATCATCACATGCACCACATTCTGCCACTCTTACCTATAACAGTATACAAACATAGACATAACCCCATAGAAGATTATGGAACTGTTAAATACGTAAAATGTGAGTAAAGGGGAATCACTGCAGATCAAGAAAAGGATTGATTGATAGTGTCCTCAATTCACAAAGCAGCATGGACTCAAGTACCCGTTCACTTAAACCGATTATGAAGGAGCCTGACCACCTCACCGATAGTTATTTCTGAGTAATAACATAGGCATAAATTGGATGATGCTCAAGTCAGAGCTTCATCTAGTTCGAAATGTTTACTAACCTATAAATTATCAGAATCATAGCATCATAGAATCATAGAATAGCTTGGGTTGGAAGGGACCTCTAAAGGTCATCTAGTCCAACACCCCTGCTGTGGGCAGGGACATCTTCAACTACATCAGGTTGCTCAAAGCCCCGTCCAACCTGACCTGGAATGTTTCCAGGGATGGGGCATCCACCACCTCTCTGGGCAACCTGTGCCAGTGCTTCACCACTCTCAGCGTAAAAAGTTTCTTCCTTCTATCTAGTCTAAATCTACTCCCCTTTAGTTTAAAAACATTCCCCCTTGTACTTCCTGTCACAACAGGCCCTGCTAAAAAGTCTGTCCCCATCTTTCTTATAAGGCCCCTTTAATTATTGAAAGGCTGCAATAAGGTCTCCCTGGAGCCTTCTCCAGGCTGAACAACCCCAACTCTCTAATGGCTGGGTGAGTATGATATCACAAAAGCTTGTATTATTTCACAGACATCAGTCTGAGTACGTCTTTACTTAGGTAGATTGTACATCTCTCCCAAAACGTTGGTTTAGGAGTCACATACCAGAGAGTATTTTACAGTACATTTTAGAAGTGCTGTCAAGATTAAATAAAACAGGGGTGGAGAGGGCTTGCTGTCTCGCTTCCAGTCCTTTTGTGTGTACTTCTATTATTGTAGAGATATATGCCCTGAATTCTACAGCTGAAATGTTCTGCTAGTCATGACTCAGACAGATGCTGGAAAACTGGAAACAATTTTTAAAAAGTGACTCAAAGCCCAAAAAGCATAGTAGCAAAAGCTAAACAAGATTAGCTAAGAGTATGTTCAGATATTGACTCAGACATGTCCTAGTAGAGATTTCTGACAGTAACCGATCCCAGCAGAGAAAAGCATCACAGAGGACTGTAGCTGGAAACCAGGCTGAAACCAGGGCACGCACCAGTCACAAAGAAGAAAAAATGACCAGCATGTAATGAAGCACCCGTCACTCCAGAGCAGGGATCTTTCTAAGCAGTATGCTGTAGTTTAATTAGAGTATGTAAGCTTGATACAGAAATTGTGTGGGCAAGACTCCTTGGTCTTATTTTGAAGGTGAAGATGACCATACTAGTTTATTAAATGCTGACCCTATTTAAGTTAAGGCAAGTTTTCTTGAATATATGGGGCAAGCCTATGTATTCAAGAAAACCAAGGAGAGCATTAATCAATATTTATATTATGCCTAAGTCTAGAATAACATCTCTTTTTGTTTCTAGACTATAATCTTTTTATGTTTGTAGACTGTTAACATATAAAACATTAAGTATAAACTTCATATTGGTCCAACACACGTTATAGCACGAGAAATTTATAAATTCTTGTTTTATCAGAATGAGAGATGGGGGGGCTAATTTCAAATCACCTGTTAAAAACCAGCGTTAGGTTTTCAGAGCAGCTCACCCGGGTGAAGCAGAGCAGGGATTGCGAGGCATAGCCTCAGCGACAATATCCACGAGAGATGACGCGCTTCTTACCCACCTCAGGCAGCAGGCACTGCTGACAAATAAGACATGATACTGATCACAGCACTGAAGCTCCACGAGAATACCTGTGCTGAGTCATAGCAAGGGGTCAGGTTGCCTGCTATCCTGTCCCTTAACCGTGAAAAATGTAGGAAGAGGGCACACACAGCTGTACGTCCTTACTACACGCTGCCAGCCTCTGGCACTTTGTGCCTTAGTTATTTTCCGGGCCAGCCTTTAAGAGCCGTCGATGAACTCCCTGTTTGCATTTTTTCAGTTCTCTTTTGACCCAGACAAAGTGGCTTTGTGACTTAATATGACTCACATATTAAGTAACACATACAGAATACATCGCGTGGAAGGGTTACTAGAAGGATTTGGGGATTATCACATTGCATTCCATGGAATTTATGTTTGGCAGATTTTCCTCTCTGAGAAAGGGACATAAAGCTAAAAGCAAAACTCGTACAACGTTATCTGCTCTACACTGAAGGTCCTTCAAACAGGTGGTGTTTCATATCACTTCTAATAGCTTTCTTATACATAATGCATGATTATCTTTCAAGCATGAGGTTGTACCATTGTTTTAAGTCCTCCAGCAACAACTCCCAAGATCTAAACTCATATGTATACCCACACATACACAAACACAATGGTTGTCCTTCCAAACAGTCCAGCGATTTTAAAATATTAAAATGTGATCTACCTTCAGATATATCAAGCAGCAATACAGTCTCATAAAATAGTAATGCTTCTTATTTTTTGATTACTGGCAGGCATCAGGCATAGCAGCAGGAAGGTGAGTTAGCAAAGACATTCAGACACCCTCCCCAAAGGCACAGGGACCTCAAGGGTAAATTCCAGCTCTCTCCTACCAAAGCGTGAGCTGGTGCTCCCTTATGCCATTAAAACACCATAGAATTAGGGAGAGAATACGTTTTAAATCAAGACTTTCATAGGCACAGAAAAGTGACTCTGGAAACTAAACAAGAATGCTTCACTTAAAAATTGTATTTATTGCTGCGGCTGTTTCTTAGTTTCTTCTTGACAAACCTAACTAAAAAGAATATTGTAAAACAAACTCCAATGGTTTGGCAGTTGATTGATTAACAGCATTTATTGTACATGTCACGAATGGCACTGACACCGTGGAAGCCTAGGTCCTATAACATCACACTCTATCAGAAACATTACACAATCATTTCCCTAAGCTATATTTGCAGCAGTTACAACTGCTTTACTTTTCTAATGCCAGCAATTACATTTATGTTTGTTTTCACATAATACCTCTTTAGGATAGTCAGAGAGAAACCAATCGCTCATGGGACAGAATTTGTCGTTTTCTTTTGTTTGTTTTTTAAGAATCTTGCTGTGCATTTCAAAATCTTTCTTTAAAAAACAAAACCAATACAATCGGTCTCTTGGTCTTTTTCTGCAATATTCTTCATGTTAATTGAGACGATGTTCACATGGCATAAACATGAATGTTACAAGCAAGTTGCTGTATTTTGAAGACAACTTACTTGTTTTCATTGACTATACTGACTATACTTCATTATGGCAAATAACTTTGAGAAAGTATAATTACAAATACCGTGGGTTTGGTTTTTTTAAAAACACAACACAGAGGCCACCACAATTACAATAAAACTTCAGCCTGTTATGATTTGTTTTCCTCCAAAAGTATGGAGATGAAGATCAACAAAAGTGTCAACAGAAACTAAACATATTGCACAAACAGTCAAAATGCGGAAGCCAACCCGCTGGCTTTAGAGAGGAAGAATTCAAGCTACTCCAATGAAAGTAAATGGCACTTGTCAGTCAAATTTGGCTTGACTGGGTCTCATTCTGCTTCATCTTTCTGCTCTTCTGCTTCACCACTTTGCATTTCCCTTCATCATTTTGGGGAATGGCTGCAGCAGAGTCTCCCTTCCTAGGACTGTGTGCTGAAGGAGCCGCAGTTTGTAACCCCTGTGAGCTTGCGCCGGGGGGACCCTCTCTGTAGGTGGTGGGAGGGCTGCACCGGAGGGGTCTCTGGCAGTGAAACATGGTAGAAGTTTGGTAACCGAATGTCGTACCTAAAGCCTTTCCCCACGTGCACTCTGTCATTCAAGGCGTACAGTTTTTCAGCAATGTCGCTCCCAATTAAAATTGAGAACAGGCGGGAGATGAAACGGTGTTTAGCAAACAGCAGATACAGCTTCTTTCTTCTCCAGGCCACGTACCGACAATCTGTCTCTGCTGTAAGTGTTACCTACAGAAGAGCAAATTAAAATTAGCTAGGTGATAAGGCAGTGATATTGCTGCTGCTGCCCTTGCTCAGAAAGCCCCCCCCCCCCCCAGCAGGCACGTAGGCTGTGTCTGTAACGTACACCTCACGTCTTTGCACCTGCTGCAATCTCTGCGAGGTCTACTGTATGCAAAAGACAAGCGAGAAGGGTGACTGGGAAGGGACCGAATGATTGCGTCTTGTCGGCCTGAGTGACAGTATGCCTAAGCCCGCACTGAACGGCAGCCCCCGCCAGAATGCAGGCTGACGGCGTGACCCGGCCTTGGCCCTGGGCTCCCTGCTTTGCTCTTGGCAGCCCCAGCTGGAAAGGCAGGTCTAAAGAAAGCTCTCGACAAATGCCATTTGCCCTCGTGACACGAGACATCAGATCCCACACAGGCAGGAGCTAGCGTGTCAGTCAAGCGACAGCAGTGGGAGGGCTCATGGATGACAGGGCGCAGCCCCGATGGGCACCGTGTCCCACGCTTGTCCCCCCATGCCAAGCTGTACCACGGGCACGCCTCTCCCCAGCCCGTGCTCTCCGGTTCACCTCCCGTAGCCTCTTCAGCACTGATTTCCACCCACCTCCTGCAAACCTGGTTTCTCGGGGCTGGATTTTAGCACAGCCAAAGAATGCAAACAGAGCCTACCTCCCGGATTAGCTTTAAGAAAAACCTTGTTTGTTGTAACAACAAGATGCAAACAGAAACAAGACAGAGACAGCATAACCAGTCCAGCGGGTAAAGAGGACTTCCCTCCCCAAATTAATGGAATGCCACTTGTTTGTATAATTTCACAAACGAAACCCACAACTAAATTAACTTATTTCTAAACCAATTAGTACTTGAACAGTTTTCTGTAGTATTAAAAAAAAAACCCTCCACTTTTACCTGGAAAATTCCCTCTTCTGTGGGCCTCAGTGAATCCCATTCAGGAGAATCCAGAAATTGAAGAGGAAAAATATAATGCAGAAACTCCCCATCAACTGTCACTCTGATCCTACCGAGATAAGATGTGTTAATTTGTTAGTACTACCTGTACAGCAGCAACGACTGCAACAAGAACGTGTTATTTATAGTATGTGAAGAGTGTATATATATCTTTGAGAGCATGAAAAAGCAATCACTGGCCAACAGTATCTAATTATATTTTTGAACACAACTTGATCAGGCCAGTTGAAAGAAATACAAGACAATCATGCAACTGAAATGGAAATCTTTCCAGGCCTTATTCAAGTCATATTATTCTCTCTGGGGCAGGTCCGTGCAGTGACGTGCAAGCTTTGTCATGACAAGGCCAGCGTGCACTGGAGAGGTGAAAGACCAATGCACATAACACCGTTTGCCTCCTTCACTTGAAAGCCATGGGCTATACTTCTATGTTTGGCAAACAGGCATTTTAGAGGGAACAAAGTGGCAAAAGCATGGAGTGGGAAGCAGGAGTTCCCCACGGCATGTGTTAGGTAGGGCTCTCTCAATGTTTAACAGGAATTACATGGCCACAGGACTGTCTCTGGAGCCAGGAGAACAGCACGGAGGTATGGGATCTCTGTGTGAATGCTGTGGCCTTCTGCAGACGCCAAAGAAAAATTTTCTTTCTACTTTTTAAATCATATTTAAGTTTGAAGGCACACAAGCAGGAAACGTATGCTTAAACCTCATGAGCTAAAAGAAAAAAAGCAAGCTGTAGGAGTCCCCTTTTTACATCTGCTCTGCACCGAGATTAATGCTTCTTACACAATCAGAAGAAGCAGCCCTATAATGCACAAAGAAGGGTAGCAGGAACTCCCTGCATGATTACTAACTGTCTGGGCATGTAGAAAGATGGCACCTCTCCTTCAGTATGGCTATGACCAAAAGCAACCCCCACGTGGTACTTTCTAGACAGCTCCCAAAAATGCTCTGAACCAGGGTATCACTAAGGACAACTACCTAAAATCCGTATTGTTCACTGCAAGTCGTCCTAAATCAGCTAAGTTTCAAGCTGCCTACAAATTTGATCTGACCATGCAGCAGGCTGTCAAAATGCATCTACAAAGTGTCCCATCAAAGACAGACCATGGCCATCATCTCTGTGTATCCCATCTACTCTTGTGGTGGTACTGTACTGTATACCACTTTGTATACAGTACAAAAGCTAGTATTTCCCTTCAGGAAAGCATCAGCAAGGTTGCCAGAAGGGTCTCCAGTAAGCAGGGAGTACAAGCAGGTGGATTTATTGCCTCAGGGTTTAACTAAGGGCCACAGTATACAGTAACTGTAGACTCAGTTCTGCAAATCTTGATAGGGCTCAACTATGTCCCCTTGTAATGGAAGGGCACTTTGAGGCGTCTAAAAGTGCTCTCCCTTACTCCCTCTCTTCTCCCACACCCCCAGAAAGCAACCAAATACAATCTGTATCAAAGTCAAGATCTCTATTAAACAGAGTTTATCTCAGTATATTCAGTTTCATAACTACCTTTTAGTCCTGTTTCAGATGATACTGGCAAAGAAAAATAAGAAAGATGCTGTGTTCATCAGCTAGGCAGTAGACAGATAGCAAACCATAGCCTGAAGACTGAAGCACACATTTGTTCCCTTTATCTGCCTAACCTGTTAAGTGCTATGACACAGTAGTCTGGAAAAGAATGACTTTAAATCCTTTTCTTTATGCTATTACAGATTTTGTGCTTAGTGTTTTTATGCTAGTACTGCCCTAGACAAGTGTCTTTAGCCTATTAATATTTATATTACCTGCATTAATATTTAATCTATTGTACTGGAAAATGAACAAACAATACACAAATCAGGCATATTTTTTTGCTTTCATTTTCAAGAAGGAGGAAAAAATAAAGATATTTGCAGTAAGTCTGAACAAACAGATACAGACCTGCCTGACACAAGCAAGGACAGTTTATCAATAGGTGTTTTGCCCTGCATGGCATAACAGTGTTCCTTCTCCAGGGTAACCACTTCTGCATCGCAGCACAAGACGATCTTCCTGTAGACAGTCAAGGAAATTCCCAGAGGCTGGAAGAGAGTGCTGTAGAGTTCCTGGAATTCTCTGTCAAAGGAAACACTCCGAACTTGGTAGGTAACGTAAATGAACTGGACGAAGCATATACCAAACAGTATAAAATTCCAGGAGAATATATCGGCAGCACAGACATCCAGCCAAGCCCAAACAGAAGAGCAGAGAAAGCCCAATCCAAGCAAGCTGAAGACATAGAGAAGCCCAAAGAATCCACTTCCACCCATGAAGCCCACAACAAAGAGAATACTGGCTAGGTGGTAGATAGATCCCTCTGCCTCTTGCTTCCAGGTGGTACATGTAGGATGTGCATATATCAGACTTTCCCAAAAACTTGCATTTTCTCCCATGGCTGGAATAATTTTTCGATTCAGCTGAATCTTGGAAATTTTTATTTATGAGATGCAGCTAGCAAGGTCCTTTGCTTTTCCATTCTTGCAAACTCTGCTCAATGATCATGTAATGTCAGGGTCTCTTTTGGTAGTAAAGTAGCACTTAGGATCTCCAGCAACTAGGAAGCTAATGTTCTCAGAAGGCAATGCCGTTTCTCATCAGTTCATGCATTCTTTTGACTTTGGCCATGTCATCTGTAGCTTCATCTGATCTGGACAAGTGAAGAAAAGATGAATTACTTACAAAATTCTTTTCATCAATTAAACTCTATCAAAGCTTTTATTGTCTAAAACCACAGACTGCATTACAATCTTCCAACTCCCCTTGTAGCCCTGTGATTCCAGGATCAAACCTTAATATTCATTCAATTGAAGATCATGTTTCTGTATCTAGGAACCCTGTAGCAACTGTCGAATCGCCACTGAATCCATGTAAACGTGTGCATCACATCCACCATGTCCTGCGGCAAGCCTTTCCACAGCCCAACTGCTGGGAAGGTAGTTGCGTTTGTTGGTCCTGAACCTGCTGCCTGCGAGTCTCATTCAATGTCCCACCTAGCTCTCGGACAAGAAGTGACAGCGAACTCTTGTTCCTTGTTCACCCCCTCCATCTCATGCTGGATTTCAGTCAAGCCACTCTGATTAATGAGCTGAGCAAGGCTGCTCTCTGTCCCCAGAGACAACAAACGACATTCCCAAACACCACAATAAGGGAAACCCAAGTATCACGGGGGATGGTCTTTTCTACTCCAAGGATGACAGGCAAAAACCTGTCACATATAAGGAAGACTACAAAGCTTAAAGGCAGCTTTATACGGATTATGTTATTAGAACATGAAGAAAGTAGTCCTGCAAAATACTTCTCAAAGGGCATTTAAAAGGAATTTTATAACATTTGAAGTTCTACCTTGTATAATTTCATGCCATGGACCACATAATTTTATTGTTTAACACTGTAAAATGTTGTAAACATGCTATTTGTTTCCATATGATAATGTATTCCTAAGAGTTAAATAAAAAGTAAAATACACAACCGAAAACATGAAAAAAACCAAAATAAATTAAAAAAATCAAAACCAGCTTTCTATGTCTGTCTTTTAAAGTAAAAATACATGCTTCAATGTGAAATTAGACATGGTAGAAATTGCAAAGCCAGAGTCTATCAGTAGTATAATCAGGATTGAAACCCACCAAAGTCTTTAACTGTCTGGTTCTTTTCCTGGTAAAACAGCCGGGAAGCCAAGAAATATCTTGCTATCTAAATTATTAGATTCTCTAGAATATCAAAGTTAGCTTCCCCCCCCCAAGAGCCACAGAAGTCAATACTTAAAAAGTACTGCTGGTGCAGTGAAGCACCCAACGCCATTCAGCAGGGCTTGCAGTGGTGGTTTTTTTTCCACAGTGACAGGTCTAAGAAATTAATAAAGCAAAGTCGTATCACATTTCCTAGGTGCTACAGCTTTACTTCTTTTAAGTTTATTCAAGCCCCAACATTAATTCCATGATTCAAAAACACTAATGCTAAATGAAGAAATAAAATCCCAAACAACTGAGCGGCAGAGTTCAGAAGAAAAGGTTAGGAGGAGAGCTCTCCCTCTCTGGAAGGGGCGATAGGGAAGTCACTGACCCATAAAAATATCACAGCTAAAGAGCACGGAACCTCCCCAAATTAAAATGCTCGATATCCTACTGCAGTGGAAGAACCAGCATTACAAGAATGAGGTAGTTTGTAACTGTAAGCTTTTCTGTTTGTCTCTTCACCCAAATACTCTTCTCTGGTACAGGATTCCCTCCGGATGCAGGATTTAGCCCTTGGAGAATGGGAGATGAGAACTGCATCAGCTACGAAGAAGTTAACCTAGGCACGGTAAGAGCATGAGGAATTTTAGGCGGTACTTCTGTGATCAAGGGGTAAGATTTCTGAACCAAAAGAAAATAAAACTGAAACATGCAGTTCCCAGACCTTGTGTTCTGAATCCAGTCAGCATTTCCACTGCACGGTCAAAAATTGGCGGCAGGAATTTTTTGTTTGATTGTTTGTTTTTTTAAATAGAATAATTGATAACAGTGATTTTGGATTATTGTTAACACTTCTACTCTATTGCCAACGTTTTGCTCTGAGCAGTTCTCATGAAGGCCCTAATTTCTACAAAAAATTCAGTGTTTGGAATGGAACCACGACTGAGAAGTTACATGGGAAGCTGTATGCATGCCACAAACAAAACCACTGTGGATCCGTACTGTAATCTACTTTCCATTACCAACATCTTTTTGTCATGTAAAGTCACACATCGCAATCATTTGACATGACGTTGCAATAACTTCACAAAATTTATGTTCCGTTTCCAATCGCTTATAGCATTCACAGTCTGCCCACACTGCAGCTCACAGCATTGCTATAAAACATCTGTTCATGACAAGATGGGTCAAAATAATTTGGAAAGAACAGCACACCACTAGGACACAGATAGAGGGTCATCATACACAAAACCAAAGCCCTGGAAAAACTGTCCTGTAATTGTAACTTTATTTTTGGAATGGGACCTGTCTTCCAAAACCACTGTATGCAACATTCCCACTTATTTCAGTAGCTCTGCACAATGAGGACTTTTACTGTGCTACGGCACCACCCAGGCTGGAGAGGGCCTCCCTCCATCTGGCCAAGAGGAAGGGCAAAGGAGGGAGGCCAGGGCTAGCACAGAATACAGCCTCATCAACACGATGATTACGTAGCTCCTGAGCTACGTAAGGTGTGCAGGCAAAAACAAACCCTCTGGAAGTACTGACGAAACCTACTACTGAATGGAGCTGGTTTCTCATGGCTACAGCGAAGAGCAGGCGTGCTTGCTGCCAGTGAACTGCAGGCAGAAAGAGAGGATTCACCTCTTTTCAATCAAGAAATTATTCTAAGATTTGGGAGCTAGAAATTGTTGGTAGGTTTTTTTATAAATAGAGCAGAGACAATAGTATGTATGGGCCTAGATATACAGTAAAATTTCTAATTTTGATTGGTATTTAGTGCTAGATAAGGCCTTTCACATTTTTCGTTATGGTTCCTACAAGTCCAGAATTTAAACTCTTGAGGGCTTCAGAACAGTCACTCTAATTAAGCCATTCATCTACTGCAAGCAGGGGTGGGGGGAGAAAAATCCCCCAAACGAAAAAACCAAACAGCTGTGGTACCAACTGTGAGTCATCCTCCACTGAGGACCTGTCTACAAAGTGCCCACAGTAGCATGGCATTACCAAGTTTGTAAGCACCTGAAGGGGACACCATCCTTTCACTGAGTTGCTTCGGTGTTCTTAGCTACCAGGACAGGGAATGCGCCAACTGACGTGGCCTTGTTTGATGTCCTGCAACAGTTGTCCTGGCTGCGGTGAACAGTTATCACTACAGGTTCATTTGATGGTGGTGATCCGGCAAGCATCAGCGGGAAACTGCATTTAAAGCAGATATCTTGGATTATAAACCTGAAGAACTGTATCTTCCCCAAGTAAATGTTGAATACTTTCCACTCTGTCCCCTGCCTATGGGGAAGAAGGAGCACCGTGCACAAGCACAGTCTCTGCTACGTGACTCCCGTATTCAGACCAACACAACATTGACATCTGTAGGCAGCCAAAGCCAGAGGTGCATGGAAGAGGTCTCCTCCTCCCAGCTCAGGAAGAAGACATGCCCTGCCAGCGCAGGCTGAATTACTGAGATGCTTCTGAGTGTTTTGCCCCACCACACATTCCACCTTCTCCAGCAGGAGCAGATCAAGCGCTGAGAAAAATCAGCCCAGACTAGAGATGTGAGCAATATACAGTGGCATGGACTTCTTTAAAACAAACAACAGCATTGCTGAAAGGACTAAGCTGTCATCAGAAAGTGTTAAAATCAACGAGTTTGCTGGAGCTTCAAAGCAGTAAATGGAGTATTTCACTTATACTCTCCAAAGTAAATACCTGCCAGCAACTTAAAACGTCATATAAGCAGTGTACTAAAACAGTCAAAACAGAATGAATCTATATTGTAATTTCAATGCACATAGTACAACCTCCCCCTCCCCAAATGGGCATTTTCCCCATACACTGTAGTATTCCCACAAAGAATTACCAGTTACGTACATTTTTAATTTGCTTGAGAACTGGGTACTGTACCCAATTTTTGTCACTGATGACTCAAATTCAAGTCTGAGAAGCTTTGAGTGTTAGTTACTGTGTCTGGATCACAATAATTTCTGCAAAAAATAAACCCTAAAAGCCGAGGCCACCAGCAGTTCTCTCTCTGGTCTTTTTAATTAAGTCAAAAGTAAAACTATTCAGAATTCGAATACTCCATTCTTTAGTTGTCTTATCCCAAGTATTCAGCCAGAAAGCCCTCAGCACTTTCACACTGTACATGTTGACAGGCCGTAGTGCCGTACATGCTGATCGTGTAGCCAGCCTGGATGAATTGTTTGCTACAGGTTTGGAAGCAAAAGGGAAGACTTTCCTTTACAGCCTATATGCTTTCATGTACAAAACGAGATTATGTTGGATTTAGCAGGATTTGTCTCACTGGTTTTAGCCATCTACAGTGTAGATGTTTATACCTGAGCTAGTGCCTCAGCCTGGCTCGGCAGTCAGCAAAGCTGCTCCAGCAACTCCACCGGGAACCAAGTGGCTCCCTCCAGCCAAGGGGGGCCCTCCCGGCCTCGACACCCCCTGCTTCCAGAGGGATGAGCTCTGAGCACCCCGTCTGGGCTGGCAAGTTACATCTGGTCTGGCCATCATTTAGATGTATAAAAAGAAGCTGCTCCTTAATTTTAGCAAGTACTTCCTCTAACATGCAATGTAAACGTATATGTCAATTAACGTACCCCTTCCTTCCACTGCCCCTTCGTCTCTGAAATCCTCTCTGCCCCCCTGCTGACGCCTATTGCTCTCAATGGTTGTTTATGTAGCACGCTTTCCCTAAGCTACTTTCCTTCAGCAGTTGTTCACTTGGGGTTAGATAGTCCAAAGGGACTGAGACAACCGAACTCTTAATTGCAATGCAGTGTCTAACTCAGTGCACGGAGGAGCTACGCACCTACAGAGAGGTATGGCTATGCGCCTATAGGCAAGTATGGGCAGATAAACGAGCTATTTTCAGTGATAAACTGTCCTTGAACCCACTCCAGGCTCAAAACATGCATGCAGCAATTAGGACAGTAACTAACAACACAAGCTAGCTTACCTTAAACTT